AATGTGTGGCATGAAGACTTTGGAGTCTACAGGTTTTCAGATTAAAAAAAGAAGAAGATATCTTCATAAAATAAAAAAAGCTTTACCAACCAAACCTACAAATGCATCACATGATGAAAGTGGTACATGAACTACAGGACAATAGTTGGAGTAAACCTTAGTAGAAAAAATTTTGTAGTCCCTCACCTAAGAAAAAATAAAAGGTTTTCTTTAAGAAAGACCAAAACTACTTTTAATTAATAAATGATTTTCACTTCCAAATTTTTTTAATTAAGTAAAAAGGAAAAAAGAATGCACTATAAGAATATGAAAGGACACTAATTGGTATATTGTTTGTTTCAATACATTATATAACATATTTATTAAAAAATTATTATTTTTTATATAAAATTAAAGATAAATAAATTTAAAGATAAAATCATGCATAAAAGATGTAAAAACCAACTAAATCAATTATAATTATATGTCATTTTAGGTTAAATGCTAATTTAGATTCCTCAACTTAAAAAAAAAACGTACATTTTTAGTTCTTCTGTCAATTAATCCATTTAGTCTATTTGTGTGTATTTAATTAAGTTCAACTACTAAAAATATGCATATAACATAAAATTAGGATCCAAAAATGTGCATATTTGAATAGATTTAATAGACTATATAGAAAAAAGAAACACATTTTTTAGAGTTAATGGATTAAAAAAATGCTTAAAATAGAATAGGGATAATAATAATTATGTCGAACTCTAGATTTGAGGAACTAAAATTGGTATTTAACCTATATTCTAATAGTTGGACTAGATAAAAGAATCATTTGTTTGATCCATTGAAAATAGCTATTAACTATTAGTTTTAATCAAACAGATTATATATTTTATAAATATCAATAATTATCCACTTATCAGATATCAACTATTAACTATCATTTAAGTTTTTCAAATATTTTTTCCTTCTTTATTCTGATTATTATATCTTGATTTTAATTATTTAACCTATCATGTTTAAGGGTAAAATAAGTAAAAGTAAAAATTATCTACGAATTCTTGTTCTAAAGATAAAATTAAAAAATGTTTGCTATTTTAGAATGGAGGAAGTAATAAAATTCTTCTTGCATTTCTTTAAAGAAAATGTCAGAAAGATAAGGAATTTAACCCATTTTCATTTAAAATTTTTTTAATTAAGTAAAAAATCAATGTA